CCCTCTTGATTTTCTGACTGCATTTGCATTTTGTTCCCAAGACCTTCACTCCCCTTAATTTTGCTCTTCCCTCTGATTCCCACCTTATCTTCTATCCCACGGATTCACCAGGATCTGAGCGGGTAACAGTCATGTATGCATGTATGTGTATGTACATATGCCCTGTGCTGGTGTTGGAGTGTGGTGTGTGTGTGTGTGTGTGAGAGAGAGAGAGAGAGGGAGACAGCAAGAGAGAGAGAGGGAGTGTGTGTGTGTGTGTTGGGGTCACTGAGGGACTGAAATTCTCCACGCCAGGCTGTAGTCCTGCTCATTGCTGGAGGTGCTGTCAGGGCCCTTGCCACTGACACTCCAGGTCTCATTCTTGCAGTGCAGGCAGGGTATTCTGGAGGAATCATGCCCTTGGAAGAAGCCCTGAGAAGTGACTGGTAGGTAAGAGTGGATAAATACCCAAACTCCCTTGCTCCGGGTGGGATGACTCTGAGACACATGTTCTATACTGTCTCTCAGAGGTACCCAACACATGTTCTATGCTGTGTCTCAGAGGTACCCGGCAGGGCTGAGTCCTGGCTGCCCACAGTGGAAACTTTCTTGATGAAGGTCCCTTTAACTGCTGCATTCCATTCCTGTCTCAGTTCCCCACTCCTGTACTGGTGTTTCCTGCAATTAGTACCCTAAGGAAGAACTGGCAGTATAATTGCTGTCCTAGAGTCATCTCCAGATAAAATTTTTATACTTGAATCTTTGCCTCAGGATCTACTTCCAGGAAACTCAAACTAAGACACACATTTTTATTTCAGCTCCTCCAATCTTCATAGACCTGTCACTGTGCTGTTTTTACCAAAAATGACCATGAGGATCAGAGAGGGAAAGTCACTTGCCTAAAGTCACACAGCTGAACAGTGGTGGAGTTCAACTTTGACCATGGGCTGTCTGACCCCAAGTTGTATACTTGCTTCTCTCCCAAGAGACTCCTCTCTTATCAGGCTCAAATGAATGAAAGGAGGATGTTAAAGGTAGGATCTCTGAAGCCTGTGCCAGAGGAACCCCAGCTCATTGCTGGCGCCTGTGTTCTCATTCTTACCTCATTAAGAGTAAAGTTTATTGAGTTTATTAAGTATCTTTAGTGAGAACTGGGACCAGATTTTCTGACTCCAAAAGAGAGATTTTTACAGGAACAGATATATACCTATAAGTATACAGACATGCATACACGTATTTCTTTACTGCTCATAATTCATGTCACTTAGTCCTTATTAGAATGTGGGATTTATAAATGTAAGAGAATTTTCATATTAAAATTGACAGATACATATTTAAATAGTCCTAAAGGAATTTGATTATTTTTCTTTTAGAATTTTCCAGTTTTAATGTTTTTTTATGAGAAACTATATAACTTTATTGATAATACATACAATAACCCTTTGTTTTTCACGTTGAAAATGCAATATATTCTGCAAATAACTAAAGCCTAATTTTGTATTAGCATTTAAAATTTTCAATCTTTTTTATTATTATTATACTTTTAAGTTCTGGGACATATGTGGAGAATGTGCAGGTTTGTTACATAGGTATACACAGGACAGGGTAGTTTGCTGCACCCATCAACCTGTCATCGACATTCGGTGCTACATTAGGATGTGGAGAAATAGGAACGCTTTCACGCTGTTGGTGGGAGTGTGAATGAGTTCAACCGTTGTGCAAGACAGTGTGGCGATTCCTCAAGGATCTAGAACCAGAAATACAATTTGACCCAGCAATCCCATTACTGGGTATATACCCAAAGGATTATAAATCATTCTACTAAAAGACACATGTGCACGTATGTTTATTGCAGCACTGTTCCCAATAGCAAAGACTTGGAACCAACCCAAATCCCCATCAGTGATAGACTGGGTAAAGAAAATGTGGCACATATACACCATGGAATACTCTGCAGCCATACAAAAGCATGAGTTCATGTCCTTTGCAGGGACATGGATGAAGCTGGAAGCCATCATTCTCAGCAAACTAACACAGGAACAGAAAACCAAACACCACATGTTCTCACTGGTAAGTGGGAGTTGAACAATGAGAACAAATGGACACAGGGAGGGGAACATCACACACTGGAACCTGTCAGTGGGTGGGGCGCTAGGGGAGGGATAGCATTAGGGGGTTTAATAATTTTAAAATTCAATTCTATTGAAATTTTTACTCCAAGAAGCCATGTGTTTTTGAGAGCTAATCCTGATATATTCAAATCTTAATGACTTAAGTTGATGGAGCGAACTTCTTTTAAATTAGTGATTCCCCAATTTGCCTGACTGTTGGAATTTCCAGGGCATGTTGAAAACACAGATTATCCAGACTCTTACCTCTGCAGATGTATTTAGTGGTTCTAAAATGGCACCAAGGGACCTGGATTTTTCCCAGGGTCCCTGTGTAATTCATACTCATGAACAGGCAAGTTTGGGAAATAGTGCCTTAAGGAGATTTTTCACTGAGCAATCTTCATTTGAAATGAAGATCATTTATCTTCTAATACCCATGCTTCCTCTTTCTCCTGCTCTCTTTGTCTCCTGCTGTCTTTCAGTTCCTAGAAGCTGTAATTGAATGACAGATCCTAGTATATCTGTACCTACTAAAAACCACACTTCTGAAGCGACATGGCCACCGGAAGCCACAGCTAGTCTGCCATGTAAAAAAGGAAAGGTCCATGTGCCCTGAGGGTGCAGGGGTGAGAGGCAGGGGAATGGAGACCCCCACAGCCAGCAGCAGTGGCCCTCATCACAGCCCTCTGGGAGATATGAAAGGAGGTCAGATGGTGGACAGTAGTCTTGCCTTGGTGCTACAGAACACGTTGTTAACATCAAAAAAGCTGATCTCTTCCAGGGGAATGGTGTAAGCTGACGCTAGCACTTGTGCTTTTTGTTTGTTTGTTTGAGATTGAGTCTTGCTCTTGTTGCCCAGACTGCAGTGCAATGCATGATCTCGGCTCACTGCAACCTCTGCCTCCTGGGATCAAGCGATTCTCCTGCCTCAGCCTCCTGAGTAGCTGGGATTACAGGTGCCCGCCACCATGCCTGACTAATTTTTTATTTTTAGTAGAGATGGGATTTCGCCATGTTGACCAGGCTGGTCTCCAACTCCTGACCTCGGCCAAAGTGTTGGGATTACAGGCGTGAGCCATTGTGCCCGGCGTGTGATTTAATTTAATTTAATCATTGCACAGCTTCAAAATGACAGCTAAGTAGCTGACATAAAAATGAAAATTCTGTGTACTTTGATGTTAGCAGGCTTAATATACAAACCAGAATATGAGTAAATTTTCTGTTAATCAAACTGAATAATTTTCACATAGGCAGGCCATTGGCAGGCCATTCAGCATCTGGCTTATGTTTGGGCCAGGCTGGGTGCTTCATAAAAGTCTGGAGGGAAATACAGAGGCCAATTCTCCATAAGCATTAGACTCAGAAATACCTTGCTTCCCAGTGAAAAGTTTAAATTGACTTTCACACCAACTTCATCAAACCGAGGTTGGTCAACACTTATCACCACTGCCACTGGACACTTTGACTTCCAATTTTGCTACCTGCTCTACAAAGATACCCCCTTCCTTCCTTTCCCGCATTCTCCCTACAACCTCGTCTTCTTTTGAGTTCATCCACTCTCTCTCATCATTGTCCATCTCTGCTTCCCAAAACCTTATATAGTACAGAAATTGACCAATCAAGATTACCATGTCAAAGAGCATCCATTTACTGAATAAGGCAGCTGGCTCCTGGGGGCAGAAAAGTGATTAGACACAGATAAAAATCATAATCCCTACTCTCCTGGACTCACTGTCCAACGGGGAGACAGACACATAAGCAAATGCAACTTGATAACTACAACAGTCAAGTGAATTATATAATCCTGACTGGAGAAAGAGAGAGCAAATGTTATAATAAGACAGTGTGTCCAGTACTTACTCTCTAACAGATTTCCTGATGAACATCTAGGCTTGCCAACTTGTTGCATAAGAAAATTGGAACGTGGGGAAGGGGAAATACGTATGCTTCTTAGTATTTCAATCTGTAAATGCATAAATAATATAACTATTAATGATATCATCATGTTGATTCAATAAGTTTGAAACCAAAATTGAGAGTCATCTTTATAAGAAACTGTGTATGTGTCTATGTGTGTACACATGTAGAATACACATATTGCTTTCTGAAATTTTCAATGACTTTGTGCTTCTTCTGAAGCAATTCAAGTTTAGAATTTGAGACCCATGGGTCAAAATATCTTCCTGAGTATACTGAAGAACATTTAGATTAATTTCAGACATGTATTTTGGTTTACATAGTGTTTTTTATCCCTGCTAACTTATTTACTGTTTTTAAAATAAATTG